GAAAATGTTCGAAATCGTTCTTGAGTGATTCTCGGCTTACGAGTAGCGGGGCAGGAGAGGTGGGCCAATAGCATTCCCAATGGGAACTCTTCGAGCACTTTGTGCCAGCACTCGAACTAACTGAATGATTTGATTACAGGTGAAGAAAGCAGTAGCGGACTATCTTGAATCACAGTTACAAACGTGCCTTTTGGCTCCCCCTCCAGACCAGCCGTTGAGTCCGGCTGATGCCGACTATTTTGCCTGTCCAACCCAGAAACCGGATGCTAATGCCGAGAATCCGCCTCAAGACGGGAATCCTCAGGACGGTAATGCAACAGATCAGCAGACGCCTGACATTCGTGCCTAGTATCACAATAAGACTCCACATATGTCCCCGACAAAACATTGAGATTCAACTTGAAACTTAGAGAAAATCGTTCTAATTACGCTTTTAATGCTGGATTTCGTTGAATAAATGTTGAGCAAAACTCGCAGTTCTGATTTTAGCGCGTCTTTTGGCCGGCAAGAGCCACACAACCCTGCTGGTTTTTTTTTCTCAGTAATGTGGTGCATTCATGGTATCCCCGCTCAAAAATGCATGACCGAGTCGGAGCTGATCTCCAAGGTTCTGGTGGCCAGAACTAGAGTTTGAATGAGCGCGATCTCTAGAAGCACTGGGTGGGAAAGCGGTTAGTGGCGCCAGCGCTAATGGGAGAACTAGAAGAACTGCCGGCTACATAACTTGTGAGTTGGGGGTACGGCAAACCCCCCGCTTCAAACCTTTCTAGCAGCTTTTGGCTCTGACTGTCATGCCTACTGCCTTCAAGGCACAATACCTTGTCAGTTGGGCGGGCAAACGGTGGTCCAGCCAACGAGCCCTCTCCTGGTGCTCCGCCCTCTCAGCGCTGTTGATGAGAACCGCTCCAGTAAGGAAGGCTTAACAGTTGGTTATCACCGCTCCTAATCTGCTTAGACTGTGCCGTTTAATCCCTTCAACTGTGACCTAAAGTCATCACTCATGAGAGTGCCTAATGGTAAGCGCTCTTTTTTGAGGCAGAAGATTTATATGTGGTCACTTCAGAACATCCATGAAACATGAGGTGGAATAAATACCAATAAGTTGTGCTCATAGAAACTGAGGTTGGGGCGCGGCCAGGGATCAGTTTTGCACGAGACGTGTTTGAAGAACTTTGCAACGTTTATTTGGACGTTCCTGTTGCAGTTTTACCGCCCTGCTGCAAACTGCTCGAACCAAAATAGCCATAAACCAACTATTCTTGTAACATTATTGTAACAATCTCACCATATATAATCGGCTATGTCCATGCGTGCGGTAGGGTAGGGGGTTGAATCCAACATTGATATAAGCTATGGGACCGGAACTCT